ACGGTATTGTGGTAGCTATATGATACCTACACTCTCAATCTCTGAATTCTACAATTTGTATTGCTACATTCATTGAATAATATGAATTCTATGAAGTTATCCGCACAGGAGCCTAATTATTGGGACGAAATCTAGATTATGGTAGTTATTCTGAGTATAACCTTCCTATACCTTTAATCTGATTGGTTCTTCCAAGTGACGACTACTCATTCACCGATTTATTTCTCAGAAACCAATTTCAATATATATACCTTCAGTCGACGTATTCCACTGTGATATTTGTATCACATGGAGCTCTACTGCAATCGTTTGCAGCATAAACCAGACGATGAGACTTAAAGTCAAGTCAAAACTCGTTCTGGTACTCTCTATCACCACTGTTGGTGAATAATTTTTATATTTTTATGTCTAATGCTATGAAAGATGCATTCTAACACTCTATACAACTCCACTCGCTTACGAGAGTTTCAAATGAGGTTAACAGCAGTCGTAACTCTCACTTCACTTATTTTATAACATCACTTTTATACAAGCTCACAGTATATCTCTCCATAGCCCAAAGTTAAAAAACCCATTAAACTCACACTTGTAGCATGAGTTGTAGTTTCATCTTTTGACTTTTAATTTTCAAATTAAAAGAATCTAAAGGAATCACGAACTACATAATCTCACACTCTCACATCATCGCGCCAGGTGTGGGTGCGGCGAAAGGCGTTTTCTAAATGGAGAAGAACATCCGATTTCACAGACATACCTTCAAAGGTGCTCTGTTTACAGTTAACACTAGTCAAAATCTATAATCTCACAACCCAAAGCTCAAACTTAAAACACCACCGACAACCCTTCGAAGACACAATTTGAAATTTCAACTACTATGAACTCCAAAGACTCGGTTTATTAAAACCTTTAATTATAATTCGAAAAAGTTTATCTCATAAAACACAACATACACTTTTAGCGTATAGAAACCTATCCCAAACTACTGAATCGATCTCTTGCGAACAGGAGAAACATATCATGTGATGCTTTCAATCTAAAAATTTCTTAATAATACTTTAATTTTAACATCTTTCAATCATTTGCATTCTATTAGTAATTGATAAATATAATTTTAGCATCTGTCTAAACACATGTCTTACCAGCTTTTGATTGATATTAAGTCATTCACACTCACACCCACACCCACACCCATACTTAGGATTTTTCTATGAATTCTCAAGCACTATTGCCATCTGATGAGATTCTTGAGCAAGATCGAAATGCATGTATCATGGCAGCTTGTCACACCTACACCCACATCCACACCCACATCTACACCCAACACCCACATCCAACGGTGTTGTGGTAGCTATACACAGCCACATCCACACTTACACCCCCCATACTCACTATGTATGTAGTAAAACGAAACTGGAACGATGAAGACAATTATTGTTACACAGTGTTTTTTCTTTTCTTCAACTTTCTTCCGAATGCGTTGAGTGTGTTCTTTCTCTTGATTTCTTTGACTACTATGTAAAAAACGCTCGAAGACGAAGGCTTATCTCAACTATATAAACAGATGCTTCTGAATGTTAATATACCATTTACTGAAAAAGTAAAAATCTTACAACACAAAAATGTTTCTCCTGCATGCTGTTTTCATTTTCACATTCGTGATTGGACCAGTCTCGACTGTAGACTATGCATCTGATCCAGCTGGGCAGTATTCATGCACTTGCAACAGTGTTTCAAGTAGTGTGTGCATGTCATGGACCTGTCCATATTATCCAGTTACATATAAATGTTTCTCCGGATCAAGCGAAGTAACCATTCCTGGTGGCAGCAAGAAAACCCTTGCGAACGTTCGAGTCGGTGATCATGTTCTTGTTGGTGATGGAACCTATGAACCAGTGCTCGACTTCATTCATTTGCAACGAGACAGTCAAGTCGAATATTTACGTGTTTCTACCCGAAACATCTCAAGACCTCTTTATATTTCAGCTGATCATCTTATCTTCCTCTTTGATAAAGATGATGATGCTGTTTTCGCTGCTGATCTTCGTGTTGGTGATCGTCTGAACACAATCATGAGCAATGGCGAGATCGCACCCGACGACATTGTAGATATTCAATTAGAAACATCAATTGGTCTCTACGCTCCACTTACGCCTTCTGGTACAATCGTCATCGATGGAATCATTGTTTCGAACTATGCTGGCGTAAGAAATCATCGTCTTGCACATCAGATGATGGGAATGTATCGTTGGTGGATTCGTATATTTGGGCCAGCAGGAAAAAGAGGCAATGAAGAACAAGTAGATGTTCATTGGATGCTGCAAGCAATGGAGAAATTTGCTCGCTTATCAATCGTCGAAAACTTAGCCAGAAACGAGTTCTTTGAAGATATGATTCATTCGACAGCACTACTTTGAATCGCACTACTATTCCAGTATTCATTAAAACATTCTTGTGTGTATGCTTTGTCTTCCATGTTTCCATTAATAATAAACTTGATAATATTACTTTTGAAATATCAAACTTCTAGGCAGTGCTTCATCACGAATACAATGATGTTTTGTCATTTTCTACATATATCATCTTTTCAACAATTCACCAGAGAGATAATAAAAATAATTCCACGGTTATTATTAAAGGAAACATTTTCCTATCATTAAACTTCTTTCGCTCTACACCAATGCTAGATCTTCAAGAATTGAGAACTATTGTACCTACCTATTGGAAACAATTCCATTCTATAACTAGATAATTATGAAAAATACTTTTGTAAGTCCAAGAAGCAGTGATAGAAGATTTTCAGCTAACGTATTCTTCCATACGAAACTGACAGAAAACTACATTGAAATATCACTTTCATATGTAAAATAGGTGTGGCGTCAGGAACTAGAGCTGCAGTGTTCTGGATATTAAAGGGCATTGCACATGACTCGCTAACGCTGCCTGTATATAGAAACAAAACAAAAAAAGGTGTAGCGTCCTGGCTATGACGTCTAAATGTTTTCATACAAAATACATTCAAAAAGCGTACTTAAATATCACTTTCACAGCTTAGCCCTTTGAATCCTAAACGATATCTGCTTGCTTTAATTGAAGCAGACTATTAGATTAGAATGTTGATATGGCCAAGTTTACCGATGGTCTAGGTTTTGGGTGATATCTATGAGTAGTCTGAGTATATATGTGAGTGGATTCTCGGTTGGAAAATATTTAACAAAATTCTTTAGAATACACCAACAACCCCACTCTTATCTCCCCACATTCACACTCATACTCATACATTCACACCCATACCAATAACCTTCAAAACAGATTTGCCATTTAACACGCCTCTTAAGCAAGGACGAAAGGTCATGTCATGCTTCGAATTCAACCTCTTATCTTCTAATTTAATGCAGCTCAAAAAAAAAACAATTACCTGTATGACTGCGATAATGATTTTAACATTTCACTTCCATTAAAAAAGATTTTGAGATGATATTCGTTTCAATTCAATTCTTCCACAACAAGTCAACAAAAAATAATGTTCGACCTAGTCTATTGCTACAAGAATAATAATGCATGGTTTGCTACCCTGGTATGTACAGTAAGCAAGATATCGATCGGGCCTGTAGAGCTACCACCATTCGAGCTGTATTTTCATTTTAGATGACAAAAGTTATCAAGTAGCTAGTATCAGTAAAGATGATTATTATAAAGTAGATTCTAAGTACAAAATCTTAAAACCTACCCGAAACTGAACAGAAACACCTCCAAGATGTGCAATACTATTACTATCTGTAATAAGTGTAGGCTTGCTTATGGATGTGGGTGTATGTGAGACTATTGATTTTAGTAGAATACTGTATGTCACGAATGCACACCCATTCATACGCAAACATATACACAAACCTACACACACACAGTTTCAAACACATCCTTTATTGAACAGTTACTACGACTTATACATGGCTTGATTATAATACATGATACATTTGAACTAATTATGTTTTTAGTCTTCTGATTATCATCAACATTATCTTCAACATTAAACGTACAGTATTGCTAGAACTTAAGTTATATCCATGTAGTATTTAAGTTCGAACATATCTGATGCTGACTAAGGAAACATTAGTTGGAGCACGTCGTATACTTCCTGGAATCACTGTTGTATAAACACAACCACACACTCTTATACATAGACTTTAGCTTGTATATATAACAAAATAAACTTTGAACTCCCATTATTCTTCTTAGGTTAAATGACAATTTATTGCGATCTGATGAGATCCTTAAGTAAGATCAAAATATGTGTTATAATAGCTTGGTAAATTATTCATGGTCATGTTTTTCAAGAATTCGTGATGGAAAGAGGTAGCTCCCTTGATTCAATGAGAGAAATGTAAATGACTTGTTTAACGGTTGCCTTGGACTGTGAAATCAAACACAAACAAATGGCATGAAAGAAAAGGTTTCCGTTACGGTGAAGAAATGAAAAAAGAAACATGGATAGTGAATTATTCATGATCATATTTGCCATGAATTTGAAGTGTAAAAAAAGTAACATCCATCGTTCCATGAAAGAAATGTAAATTATTTGTGTAACGATTGCTTTGGCTATCGACAGTGCACACAAACTAATAGGATAAAAGAAAAACTCTCATTACTGCAAAGAAATTTAAAAAAAAAAGAAATATGGATAGTGAATTATTCATGGTCATGTTTGTCATGAATTCGAACTGTAACGAAGCAACGGCCTTCGTTCAGTGAAAGAAATGTAAACTACTTGTGCGACAGTTACCTTGGACTACGAGATCAAACATAAACAAATTGCATAAAAGAAAAGACACTAACTACTGCGTAGAAATGGAAGAATATCAATTTCAATTTATTATGCGCACTTGATCGTTAACGTAACTACATAGAAATTCTCGAAGTAATTTATATTCAGGGAAGTAATTTCTAGTCATCGATTCAAAGTTACTCGAACAATTAATACACTGGAAAATGTTGAAGTAGAATGGTATAGAAGGAAAAAAGATAGAAGTCATCAATAATTTCTATGTTATTCTTTTACTAGGCCAGTGAGTGAAGTGTCTTCGAAATTCATATGTCGAATAGAAGGGTTTTATTATGGTAATCTGTTTTGTGAAACAGTTAAACTACATAGAAATCTATTTCGAGAAAAACAAATTGAATGTCTTTCGGATAAGAGGATGCAATAAATTAATCGAGAACCAATCGGAAGATTTCTCTCAAGAGCTCGATTCAACAAAAAAAATAGTATGAAACCATCCATAGTTATGATATATTTTTGTCTTCATGTAGTTTTTCTGATATCAAGGAAGTATACAAAATGATGTCATCTATACAAGAGATTCGAAATTTTTGGCCCATTTTGAACACTTTACCAGGTTCGATTACTATTGTGCTTTAATTGCTGATGCCTAGCCCTAAATGGAAGCGATCGTACCCAACTGATCCGTTTTTTTTTGCCCACAAGATTTGTAGCCAGTGAGAATGAGCAACATCTTTTGACAGAGTTCGAAAAGTTCTCATATGAGACCATCAACAGTCTTTTCTTTAACTGTAGAACTGAGAAAAACTTCATTAAAAAAATTTGAAAATTCTCAATCATACTAAGCATACTACAACTACTGTGACATATTTCTGTTTTAAGAAATTCTTCTCAAAGATAAGAAAATATACAAATATTTTTCTCAAAAGATGCAATATTAATTCCTCTATCGAAGTAATAAGATGTGATTCTCATCAGTGTTACGGATAGTTCTGACAGTTTTGCTTCACATTGGACACAAAATTGCATGTCTGCTAGTACGTACAAGAGACTTTAGTCACGCTTTGATAGAAGTCCGATAGTATAACCGGTTCTTGGTTCCTATGAGTATTTTTCTCAAATGCTTTGCTAAGCGCTCTCTTTGATAAAAGCCTTTTGAATTTTCAGGGATTAGTTTCAGACACACATGCCATATGATAGATAGGTCTTCTACTAAATTCGCATGAAAATAGTTCCTGTTGTTTTCCTCAATTCTCAAAAAGAACATAGGACATTTTCCATTAATTCTTCCAGTGTAAAAATGAAGTGTCAAACGGAAATTGTTCCTAGCGAGTATCGAAACATTGCTACACATCATATCAAAGTACACAGAGATGTCACTGACACAGAAAACAAAAATATTTTCATGGGAAATGAAATTAAAATACTTAAGTAGAATGTTTGCTTCAGAATTGCGATATTCTTTGCATGCATTAAAGTGAACCATGCGACACCGTCAAAAGCATCTTCTTTGATGTTTTCACTCATCCTCTACTTCTAAACGACAATAGTACAAAAGAAAAAATAATACATGCCAGATCTTTCCAATCACCATTGAAAATATTAGCATACCGCATCCCATCACATCCGTACAACTATCTTAATGTTCACTTACCACAACAGAAGTTTGTCTTCCGTCATTCATAATTAACTCTCGGTTAGTGAAAGTTGAAATGTGGGTGTGCTTGTGAGCATTGAAGTGGCTGCACGCAGCCCATCCTACAGATCATGCTCGTAAAGAAATACGATTGACTGTAAGGATTGGAGAGAACGTCTCCTTCATAGCGTTGTGGGCATGGATGTCTGTGTTACTGTATCCATATATATCAACATTCGCAAGATCAGGAAGATTAGCAAAAAAAAAAAACAAAAGCACTCGCGCGTCCTAAACATATATTCGTATACTGTTCGAAGATTCATCTACAACAAGCATAATCGTGTATAATATCATTACGATGTAAAATATTCGCAGCCTATCAGGTATAAGTTGCAAAGCCTACTATTTGTTCGACTAAATCTGATGAACACAGTAGTTTGTTTCTGACTGCTTCAACTAAAAGAATCATGCACGTTTTTTCACCGTCATACACTTTCTATTAATACAATCAATTCAAATACAGTGTCCTACTCTGAATACATTTCATATCAATCTTGAGTAAGATTGAAATGATCTTCGTGTAAGTATGTTAAAATAGATAATCTAGATAGTACAACACACTCATCATTTCGGAGATAACTCGTGATAATATATATCTAGATCACAGGCACTGTTATACCCTGCAGCTGCTATTACATGAGTGCCAATCGAAATTCACATTGAAATTGGGTACTACCTGTAGTACCTGATTCTGAAAATTGATACAGATACAACCGTACAGATCAAATTACATCGGATCATTTTCTTCAGCAATATCGAAACGTATCACAGCTGTTCCGCACATCATGTTTTCATTCAATACAATGCAACACGCCCTATGTTTACCATTCAACTTACGAGTAGAACTAAATAACTACCTCTCGATTTGATCGAAATTTTTCTTTAAAAACTCTTTCATCAAATTAGAGACACAAAGCCATTGGGTAAGGCTTCTAAGCAAAGTT